TTTTGTGCAAAATATTGAAAAAAAAAAAAAAAAGGAGCTATTCTCAATCATATTTGACAAACTTAATAAATGTGTCTAAGAAATAAATTATATTAAATAATTCTCTTTGTGTTATAAGCTAGAGAGAAAAAGAGAGAACAAAAGAGAGAAGTCAATATATTTTTTTGATTTTATTAAGAATCAAAGCCCGATGTTTATAAGAAAGAATTAAAGTTACAAGAAATACAATAGTCATAATGAATTGAGCTTCAAGAGTATAAAAAACATTCATAAATACTACTATATTTACAACGCTCCTCATTAAATGACTATACATAATAATTGTTTCATTGAAATATTATTTGGCAAAAAATTGATTGGACAAAAATGCCAACAAATGAAAAAAGAGCACATTGTTGCCTCGTTAAATTCTTATCAAGAAATCCAATGGGACAAAACTAGGGCGGGACATGGGTCAGTTCGGTTTGGTTATGAAGAGAGCCAAACCGACCCGAAACTTTCGAGTATTTAATAAATGGAACCGTCGGGTCCAAACATAATTATGGAACCGTTCGAGTTTGGTTCGGTTCGGTACCATAATTAAATTTTTTAACATTTACAACAATACTACATAAATACAACTAGTGACATCTTCATTCGTAACTTTTACAAATTAACGTACCCAAATTTAAAACACATAAATAACAAGTTGTCCAATAAGAGAACTATGTTAGTGATTGCCAACTAGTAAATAAATATATTATAATTTTTTTAAATTATACAGAGTCAAAGATGAATTGTTGGGCAGCTTGGGGCTTTAGGAGTTGGGCTAACAAAAAAATAAATTTAAGGATAATAAAACCCAAATGTTGGGATAACAAAGTTACAAAAAATTAATTTGGCTGGATTAATTTGCTAATTTGTTTAAAAAAATTAAATTAATTCAATATAAAAAATAAAAAAATTTATTTAGATTCGGGTTTTATTCGGTTTTTTGGTTCTTAGTCTAGAACCAAGAACTAACCCAAACCTATCGGTTCTCAATTCAGGTACCCGTTCGGGTATTTAACTTAGGGTTTAGTTTGATCCGATTCGGTTCGGGACTTTTGTCCAGCCCTAGACAAAACTTGATCAAAAGAAAAAGAGGGTAGCTAATCCCTCTGATTTCAATTCTTGTATCAAGCGATCCATGTCTTGTATATCAATGTCTTCAATATTGATGTCTTGTACGTTAACGTCTTCAAAAATATTTAGTGGAACTAAACTTGATTTTTTTTTTGGATAGATAATCAGAAAATTTTATTAATCAAAGAAGAATATACATGAAGTGTATTATCAGTGTAAATAAGAAAGAAAAGATATAAAGTTAGGCAGTCTCTCTATAGGATTGCTAGTCGCTGCATTAAACCAAGTATACAAAGTCAGATAAAAAATTCTCTAAATTGCTCTGTGGTCCGTATGTGGGTTTCAAAGTATCGGTTGTTCATTTCCCTCCACACACACCAAACAATGTATCCCGGGATAAGATTCCATGCGAGCTTGCTATCCTTATCACAAAGTTTCCTCCTCCATGCTCGCAACACACCCTCTATACGTCTAGGCAACACCTAATCTATATGTTGAGAAGCCAGAATACTATTCCACAGCCAACGGACACCGTTACAGTGAATGAATAAGTGGTTATGCGTCTTCCCATCGCTCCTACACATATAGCACCACTCGGTAACATAAAAGCCTTTTTTTCAGAGATTGTCCATTGTTAATGCCCGTCCCATCACAACCGTCCACAGTAAAAAAGCCATCCGTTGGGGGGGGGGGGGG